TTGTTACGTCGTCAGTTAACTAGAATGTCTGGCCTGTTCAGACCCCATTGCTTAGCATTATAAGAGTTAGTAATAGAGGACTCGTTATCAATGTAGTCACTCAACCTTTGGTATATATGATATTGTTTTGGATAAATGTGAAATTTATTTTGTATCGCAGATGATCTTCACTTCCGATTGTGAAGAGTGAGACCTTGTCCATATTGTTTCATAATTACAAGCCAGAGGCAGGTGGACGTGAGCTTTATACTTGGTAGCTACTTGTGATACGAGACGAATGTTCCGGTAAATTAGCTTTGTTAAACACCAACGTCTTGTAAAACCTGTTCGACTTCCTACTTTGATAATGAATCGTTCATTGTATTGTGAATGTTGCAACTGATTTTACTAATAATGGACTACGCACGATAATCACGCATCCGCATCTACGTCAATGACATCACAAATCAACTTTTCCAATCATGAAAAAGCATTTCTAATAAATGTTTGTACTAATTAATACAATATCTCTTTGGGTTATTTTTAGTGTTATCACTGAGAAGTATAATTTGTATCTTGTTTGTATCTTGTACAAAGAAATACAATGTATATCGTGTTTGTATCTTGTACAAAGAAATACAAAGTATATCGTGTTTGTATCTTGTACAAATAAATACAAAGTATATCTTGTTGTATATTGTACAATGAAATACAAAGTATATCTTGTTTGTATTTTGTACAAAGAAATACAAAGTATATCTTGTCGTATCTTGTACAAAGAAATACAAAGTATATCGTGTTTGTATCTGGTACAAAGAAATACAAAGTATATCTTGTTGTACCTTGTACAAAGAAATACAAAGTATATCGTGTTTCAAAGTATATCTTGTTTGTATCTTGTACAAAGAATACAAAGTATATCGTGTTTGTATCTTGTAAAAAGAAATACAAAGTATATCGTGTTTGTATCTGGTACAAAGAAATACAAAGTATATCTTGTTGTACCTTGTACAAAGAAATACAAAGTATATCGTGTTGTATCTTGTACAAAGAAATACAAAGTATATCTTATTGTATCTTGTACAAAGAAATACAAAATAAATCCTGTTTCTATCTTGTACAAAGAAATACAAAGTATATCGTGTTGTATTTTGTACAAAGAAATACAAAGTATATCTTGTCGTATCTTGTACAAAGAAATACAAAGTATATCTTGTGTGTATCTTGTACAAATAAATACAAAGTATATCTTGTTGTATATTGTACAATGAAATACAAAGTATATCTTGTTTGTATTTTGTACAAAGAAATACAAAGTATATCGTATCTTGTACAAAGAAATACAAAGTATATCTTGTGTGTATCTTGTACAAAGAAATACAAAGTATAAAGTATATCTTGTTGTATCTTGTACAAAGAGATACAAAATAAATCGTGTTTGTATCTTGTACAAAGAAATACAAAATAAATCGTGTTTGTATCTTGTACAAAGAAATACAAACTATATCTTGTTTGTATCTTGTACAAAGAAATACAAAATAAATCGTGCTTGTATCTTGTACAACGAAATACAAAGTATATCTTGTTGTATCTTGTACAATGAAATACAAAGTATATCTTGTTTGTATTTTGTACAAAGAAATACAAAGTATATCGTATCTTGTACAAAGAAATACAAAGTATATCGTGATGTATCTTGTACAAAGAAATACAAAGTATATCGTGTTGTATTTTGTACAAAGAAATACAAAGTATATCGTATCTTGTACAAAGAAATACAAAGTATATCTTGTCTGTATCTTGTACAAAGAAATACAAAGTATATCTTATTGTATCTTGTACAAAGAAATACAAAATAAATCGTGTTTGTATCTTGTACAACGAAATACAAAGGATATCGTGTTTTTATCTTGTACAAATAAATACAAAGTATATCTTGTTGTATCTTGTACAATGAAATACAAAGTATATCTTGTTTGTATTTTGTACAAAGAAATACAAAGTATATCTTGTCGTATCTTGTACAAAGAAATACAAAGTATATCTTGTGTGTATCTTGTACAAATAAATACAAAGTATATCTTGTTTATATCTTGTACAAATAAATACAAAATATATCTTGTTGTATCTTGTACAAAGAAATACAAAGAATATCTTGTTTGTATCTTGTACAAAGAAATACAAAGGATATCTTGTGTGAATCTTGTACAAAGAAATACAAAGAATATCTTGTTTGTATCTTGTACAAAGAAATACAATGGATATCGTGTTTGTATCTTGTACAAAGAAATACAAAATAAATCCTGTTTCTATCTTGTACAAAGAAATACAAAGTATATCGTGATGTATCTTGTACAAAGAAATACAAAGTATATCTTGTGTGTATCTTGTACAAAGAAATACAAATTATATCTTGTTGTATCTTGTACAAAGAAATACAAAGAATATCTTGTTTGTATCTTGTACAAAGAAATACAATGGATATCGTGTTTGTATCTTGTACAAAGAAATACAAAGAATATCTTGTTTGTATCTTGTACAAAGAAATACAATGGATATCGTGTTTGTATCTTGTACAAAGAAATACAAACTATATCTTGTTTGTATCTTGTACAAAGAAATACAAAATAAATCGTGTTTGTATCTTGTACAACGAAATACAAAGTATATCGTGTTTTTATCTTGTACAAATAAATACAAAGTATATCTTGTTGTATCTTGTACAATGAAATACAAAGTATATCTTGTTTGTATTTTGTACAAAGAAATACAAAGTATATCTTGTTGTATCTTGTACAAAGAAATACAAAGTATATCTTGTGTGTATCTTGTACAAAGAAATACAAAGTATATCTTGTTTATATCTTGTACAAATAAATACAAAATATATCTTGTTGTATCTTGTACAAAGAAATACAAAGTATATCGTGTTTGTATCTTGTACAAAGAAATACAAGGTATATCTTGTTTGTATCTTGTACAAAGAAATACAAAATATATCTTGTTTGTATCTTGTACAAAGAAATACAAAGTATATCTTGGGTGTATCTTGTACAAAGAAATACAAAGTATATCTTGTCGTATCTTGTACAAAGAAATACAAAGTATATCGTGTTTTTATCTTGTACAAAGAAATACAAAGTATATCTTGTTGTATCTTGTATATAGAAATACAAAGTATATCGTGTTTGTATCTTGTACAAAGAAATACAAAATAAATCTTGTTTGTATCTTGTACAAAGAAATACAAAATATATCTTGTTTGTATCTTGAACAAAGAAATACAAAATATATCTTGTTTGTATCTTGAACAAAGAAATACAAAATATATCTTGTTTGTATCTTGTACAAAGAAATACAAAGTATATCTGGTGGGTATCTTGTACAAAGAAATACAAAGTATATCTGGTGGGTATCTTGTACAAAGAAATACAAAGTATATCGTGTTTTTATCTTGTACAAAGAAATACAAAGTATATCTTGGTGTATCTTGTACAAAGAAATACAAAGTATAGCGTGTTTGTATCTTGTACAAAGAAATACAAATTATATCTTGTTGTATCTTGTACAAAGAAATACAAAGAATATCTTGTGTGTATCTTGTACAAAGAAATACAAAGTATATCGTGTTTTTATCTTGTACAAAGAAATACAAAGTATATCTTGTGTGTATCTTGTACAAAGAAATACAAAGTATAGCGTGTTTGTATCTTGTACAAAGAAATACAAAGTATATCTTGTTGTATCTTGTACAAAGAAATGCAAAGTATATCGTGTTTGTATCTTGTACAAAAAAATACAAAGTATATCTTGTTGTATCTTGTACAAAGAAATACAAAGTATATCGTGTTTTTATCTTGTACAAAGAAATACAAAGTATATCTTGTCGTATCTTGTACAAAGAAATACAAAGTATATCGTGTTTTTATCTTGTACAAAGAAATACAAAGTATATCTTGTTGTATCTTGTACAAAGAAATACAAAGAATATCTTGTGTGTATCTTGTACAAAGAAATACAAAGTATATCTTGTTTGTACAAATAGTATGTATCGTTTGGTCGTTTCTAGTACTGTAACTTTTGCGATTCAACGAACATGTAGTAGTATTATCTCGTTCTCAAATCAAGCGTCAGTCAAATAAGTCGATCGATGTCTGAAGCTTATAATCCACACTCGCCGTTCCTGGACAATTTGGCTGGCGAAGACGGTCGAACCTATTGTAGTCATTCGTGATTTCATTACATACATACCAATGGTCATTGAAATGTTGTGTAACTCACTTCTGTGACGGGATCATTGCTTCGGTCTGTCAAATACTGATCTGGCAGTAGCACACGGCTGCGTTGACACAAACATTGCGGTGATACAGACCTGATAGCGTTACGACTCGGAATTATCCGTCCTTAAGATTTCGGGATAGGGTATACGGTAGGCGATGACACGTTACATTATCTTGCAAATTATTGTCTAGCCAGGTCTAGTCATCGGTTTCCATGAAATTGGCTCCAACATATTACCATACATTGGATTAGAATTATGCAAAACTGGTGGTTGTGTTTGAGTGTTTTCGATAAACGCATTGTTGATATGTCGTTTAAGGGGGTACATGTAATAGTAAGGACATTCCTCTGATTTCCCGCGGGAATTAAAACCTTGCAAAGCGGATTAATGTGTCTAGGGAGCTAAAATCTTTGGAAAGTCTACTAAACCGACAATGAATACCATTATCCCCTCTTTAGTTTATGGATTTTTGATGTGAATGATGGATTATATTACGTCCATAACAAATGATACCAAGCAATTAATATACATGGAAGACCAGTGTAGAGATTGCATTACATGTCTCAAGGGAGGCAACTCTTATACAAAATCGATCATATCTCGGCGTCGACAGCATTACCCTCCTACCCTGTCTGGACCCAATATATCAGAATAACATAGTGAGAAAAGTCACTTACATATGACATCGATGTTTTATGATGAGTGGTTTTAATCGTTCATTTTATTATGTCTTTGACAGGTTTCTGACCAGATCGCCCCGAGAAACATTGTCTAGACCGACAATCTACAGAGGAACAGTTAACCCACCGTAAGTGTTGTACTTCTCCCTACAAAACGTCACTCGGTGAGAGCGTTAACAATGTATAACCGTACTTACTTCCTCTACAAGTGCATACCAACACAACAGACGGTCGCACACAGTCACTTTCTCATTTTTTTTTAATGTTTTATTGGGTCAATAAACACAATATTCTCACACGAATGAACGAAATAAAGGATGATTCAATACTCGTGAAAAATAAATGTTATTCAACGAGAAAACATGACTAAAATATCAGATTTCTCTGTTTTGTGTTTTGGACGAATTGATGCGTCCGGGTTTTTTCTTTGGTAAAAGAAATGTCCATGTGTAGCAGACTTGCACTGGGTCGATCGCAGGCTATCGGGTAGGTCGATCGCTGGCTATCGGGTAGGTCAATGGTAGAGCGTCCGTTTATAGAGTTCGGAGGTTCTGGGTTTGAATCTCGGTCTGGCCGTACATTGTTCTCTCACCTGTTACGAAATTAAGAAGTGAAATGCTTCCTTCTAACATTTATGTATTTACCATACGTTCCATTCTGCCATTCTATATATTGTATATATTTTTGTTGTTTTAATAACACACTTAAAACAACAGGTTTAACCAAATAGTGGAAGAGCATTTTTTTTTTTCCAGAATAACGTCGTGGTTTTCTGTCAAACGTTAATTAGATTCGTATTCTTGATCGCATGACGTTTCACGACATATTGGGAAGTAGACACTGCATGCCCCTAGTACAACACAACCATACATTGTATAAACATGTAATAGGTATTATACAATGACTTACACATTAGAACGGTTGAATGCAATGATATACATCATCACGTTTCAATCATGATAATACATTATAATACAATGACATACGTTAAAATAATACAGTTAGATAAAATCACATACATTATATTACATATACAGTTGACCACAATATCATTCCATTAAAATAATACAGTTAGATAAAATCACATACATTATATTACATGTACAGTTGACCACAATATCATTACATTAAAATAATACAGTTAGATAAAATCACATACATTATATTACACGTACAGTTGACCACAATAGCATACATTACACTGTATTATAATTACAAAAGTTTCGTGTTATACTACGACATATACATGTATTATAGAAGTATAATTGTTATTAATCAGATCGGTAGCCTTACCAGACATTTTGTCTGGTGTCGTGTTTCCGGGGCTCGCGTTCCGGTGAATATTCGGTGAATATTAAACAGAAATTCACAAGTTCACGCCACAGCTGTTTATTACTCTAGTCGAGTCGCTGGATTCGAGAGAAACTCGAAACACTGTTTAAGGTTGATTTTGTTTTGATTACTTTAATAGGGCCCATTCATGTATGCGGAACAACCGTTATTCTGTTTTTAAATGTAATATTTTCGGGTATAAATCCTGCCGGACCTGCAAATGTTTATGAAGGCCTTGGGAGGCTTTGTCAAGGCTCGCATGAAAGCAGCAACAGATTAATAGGTCCGACCTTATTTCATAGACGAACAACTCTAGTCCAACCGGTCCAACCGTTTGGATCGCAATATACGAAAACGGCCCAAGTATACTAAAAATAGACAACTAGATAAAAGTTTACTCGTAGATGAAGTTTTATCCTTTATCTCACTTATGTTATATTTTCTCTCCTTTTTTGTTTACAGAAACAGAGGGGTGGCATTGAAATGATCATGGTTTCAAAAGACCAGGTAAATTTCCTATACAACGACACAGAGAAGGGGATGCTTGCGTCACGTAGTGTGTGTTATCGCAAAGTCTCGCGATATAAGACGGTGGTATGTTTATTTGTAGTTATCGTTGCCGCAATATTGATAACCTTAGGATGCCTTTCTGAGAGATTTTGTTTGCGTGAAAATACGTGTGAATTGACTCCGGTTCAAACTCCGGATAGTCTGCAGTTATGTAAGAAACTGAAAGAGGGAAGCCCGAGAAAGAAGCTACCAGAAGCTCTCATCATCGGCGTGCGTAAAGCAGGGACAGGAGCCATGCGTTTTTATCTAGATATGCATCCATATGTGGAAATTGCCAATGCTGAAATCAGTTTCTTCGATTTTGAATATGAAAATGGATATGAATGGTATAAAAACCAGTTGCCAATGGCAATGCAAGGTCAATTAACTATGGAAAAAACGAGTAACTACTTCCACAATAAGAAAACTGTGGACCGAATTTATAACATGAGTTCGGCTGTGAAGCTGATCGTTGTTGTACGGGAGCCAATCGAACGGACCGTTTCTGATTACCTACAAAGGAAGCTCAAAAAGAGCGAGAATGACGATATTGAGTATCCAAAATTTGAAGATTTTGTGATAGATCAGACCACAGGAGAGGTGGACGGATCTGAAAAGATAATCAAACCTTCAATTTACTACAAGCACCTGCTCAAGTGGCTCAAGTACTTCCCATTGGAAAATTTACATTTTGTGGATGGAGGTAACTTGATTCTTAATCCGTACGAGGAGGTGAAGAAAGTAGAACGTTTTCTGGGAATACCTCACTGCATGACACAAGACAAGTTCGTGTTCAGCTCAACAAAGGGCTTTTACTGCGTTAAAAAGAACAAAGGTCGCAGGGAAGAAACAAAATGTCTGCCGGAAACAAAGGGCAGACGACATCCGCTTATTGACCCGGTCGTGATGCGCAAGCTGAAAGATTTCTTTAGGCCTTGGAACGAAAAATTTTACCGGGCGATCGGTCGTTCGTTTCATTGGTGAACGTTTGTGATATTATTCTACTTCTTCAGGCAGCTCTGTCGTTCGTGATCTTGAACATTTTAACGTTAACATTGTGAGTTATCGTGATGCCCGTTTGTTTTAGCGGAAAAAATCGAACAAGTTATTTCAAACTTAATTTAATATTCTTTACGATTATGCACAATGTGTCTCTTTAAAAAAAAAAAAAAAGGAAAATTGAAATTACGCATGATACAAAAAAAATCACTTTACCAATACAGCGAATATGCTGATCATTTAAGTGGTTTAACCTTTTCAGGTTTTCAAAAGAACAACCTATGTAAATCAGTTGCATAATTTTTTGAAACGATTTTGAATATTGAAATTGAAATTGAGATTGGTAGATATCAATGAGTCTTAGTTTCTACACCGTGAGTCTTTACCTCAAGCTAACTTTACTTATACCCTTCAGCTGATACTGAGCTTGGCGAGGAGTCAATGTATTGGTGATACACTGTATATGGGATCATGGAGGTGATTTGATAGCTCAAATGAAACGTACCATGTGTATATGAATTCATCATTGCATACCTGGCCTTTACAATACAAATCATTTTTATTTACCATCATCTTTTTTCACTATTTGTATACATTCCAGAAAAAAAATGTAGACGTGAAAGTTTTCGCTGCAGTATAATTTTCGCCTTTTTCGCCCTTTGCAATGAGGGCAAAGTTAATATAACAGCGAATGCTATTTCACAACATACTTTATAAAGTAACTTCATGTGAGGAGGTCGAAATTTGCACTGGGCGAATATTATTGTTACCTGTAAAGGGCGAATAGTATTGTTACCTGTAAAGGGCGAATATAACTGTTACCTGTAAAGGGCGAATAGTATTGTTACCTGTAAAGGGCGAATAGTATTGTTACCTGTAAAGGACGAATAGTATTGTTACCTGTAAAGGGCAAATAGTATTGTTACCTGTAAAGGGCGAATATTATTGTTACCTGTAAAGGGCGAATAGTATTGTTACATGTAAAGGGCGAATAGTATTGTTACCTGTAAAGGGCGAATATAACTGTTACCTGTAAAGGGCGAATAGAATTGTTACCTGTAAAGGGCGAATATTACTGTTACCTGTAAAGGGCGAATATTTGACTGGGCAAACGTTTTCCCGTGTACAGTAAATATAATCATTTTTATCATTTCCATTTTTATGAAGTGTATCATTGTAGAGAAGGTTATTTAATTTCGTTTCGGTTTTAAAACATTCCATATAGCTACATCTATTGAAGCAGTACTTAATTTATTAGTATTTCATAAAGTCGACTCTTCATTGTTACTTGAATTTTTCAACATAATCTCCATTACACTTACAAATATTTAACATTATAACTACGACTAATGCTATCTTTAAGGTATTCAAACTTGCGTTTTACAGTCATGTACCAACGTACTCCACGTATTTAAATATCATTGTTTAAGTGCGTTTCTTGTAATTTAGGAAGTATGTAGAATTGGTACATGTATCACACAATAGTGTTCATGTTAAGAAGATTAGATCGACCTCAGGCGCAGCATCTGTACCCGCTCGACCTCAGGCGCAGCCTCTGTACCCGCTCGACCTCAGGCGCAGCCTCTGTACCCGCTCGACCTCAGGCGCAGCCTCTGTACCCGCTCTCGAGTTTAATAAATGTTGTTTTTCATGCAACAACAACTACTTCATTTAGCTAGTAGTGTGATGTTTGATTTGTTGTGGGAGTCACAGGCCCCCGTCACTATAATGTGTGAAGTTTTATTTGTTGAGTAGTGTCTGGGTCAGATTGTGACCCCGTCACAGCCCCCGTCACCATTATGTGTGGTGTTTGATTTGTTGTGGGAGTCACAGGCCCCCGATACCATTATGTGTGATGTTTTATTTTTTGAGTAACAGAAAAAAGGCAGTGTCTGGGTCAGAAATTGACCCCGTCACAGGCCCCCGTCACAATTATGTGTGGTGTATTATTTGTTGAGTTAAAGAACAAAGGCAGTGTCTGGGTCAGATATTGACCCCGTCACAGGCCCCCGTCACCATTATGTGTGGTGTTTTATTTGTTGAGTTACAGAACAAAGGCAGTGTCTGGGTCAGATATTGACCCCGTCACAGGCCCCCGTCACCATTATATGTGGTGTATTATTTGTTGAGTTACAGAACAAAGGCAGTGTCTGGGTCAGATTGTGACCCCGCCACAGGCCCCCGTCACCATAGTTTCAAATTGTTCATGTTTTACATGTGCCATTAGATTGTATATTTTTCCATTTATTTGTTAAGAGTGTGACAGGAATATTACCTCACCTTCATCTTACTCCATTACAGTTCCATAATGTACATCTTAAGCCTGATACTCATATTATTGTCCTTATCTTGATAATCGTACATAATGTCCATGGCCTTTTCTCCCTTCAGCAACTAGTTGTACCAAACACGGTTAACTTAACGGAATTATCAGTCAAAACCAATACACGTAGTGTTCTGAAGAACCATGACGATTTATCTTTAGTTGTGACCTATTATAGGTATCTATACAATAGCTCTTAACCTCATAAACAGACATATACATGTAATACTAAACATGATTTGCACATTGATGCTTTTGTCAATGATTGATGCTTTTGTCAATGACTTCCTCGAAAAACGCAATATCTAGAGAAATGTTTTAAGCCCAAGGTGCGACAAGATTGCCCCCGACGCTTGGACTTTTAGGGCGATATATATCAGTACAACAAGACAAACATGTCAATGTCCTAATGTAACTGTTCCAGTCTCGTTCAGTCTGTCAGTCATCAACGGTAGTCACTCTCCCTGATCAAGATATCGTTAGCGGCACACACACGGTAACCCACCAACACCACACGGTAAACAGCACACGGCCACGTTCAGACATAGTAACACTGTAACATATAGCACACACACGGTAACCCACCAACACCACAAGGTAAACAGCACACGGCCAGAAAACACACTCACGTGGTAACATATCAAAGTCACACGTTCAGACATAGTAACACTGTAACATATAGCACACACACGGTAACCCACAAGCACCACACGGTAAACAGCACACGGCCAGAAAACACACTCGCGTGGTAACATATCAAAGTCACAATCACAGTCACACGGTAACTCACAAGTAGCACCAAGTAAAGAGTTCCGTCGCTAGAATAACAGACCACGAACGATTCAGCTATCTGATTCTTTGACAAGCGAGACCTTTGATAGCGGTTTATGTTATAAACACACACACACTACAGGACAACTGTTTCTTCATTTCTACCACATTAGCGGACATTTTGTTTAAATATGCTGAATAATTGTAAAACATCCCTTTTATTGTTTGACTGCGTCGTTAGCTAATTATGTTTAGTATGGCTAGATTCTGCCCTTCAAGCTTTAATATATTTCACCAAAGATTCTATCACATTTGTACAAATCACCATATTAAATGAGCCTAAGAGTTCCTATGTGTAGACCTACCTTGTAATGCTGTATTGTTTTAAATATATAGACAATGTGATTACTATGGATAACGATAGTACCTAAGGTTTTTAGTATGCTACATTTTGTTTAAAGCTATCAAAGATTCCTACAAAAACCAACTCTATAACACAGGGATGGTTTGTTTAATGTGTAGGTGTAACTGTATTCATATTGGTGTAATGTAACTTTTACGTCACTTCCGGTCAGATTACTTCACTAATAACCGTGATTATGACTAAACAGCGACAGGTGGATGCCATATAGGTATTTCAAGTAAACGTTAACTTTTTAAGTCCCTCATCTGGTTACTGTTTACCGGTGTCGTATAGGTTGTGATCATTTTTAGGGAGGCAAACCATTTCGAAATGATTCCTAGGCCGATTTGATAAGCTCACTGCGTTATAAGGTTTAGGGATCAAATTCCACTGGCGGAGCCGATATGTTTTTGTGGAAAAGTAAAAAAATGATAGATTTCTTTCGTACACAACTCTTCGCCATAGTGAATTGAAAAGCAACTCAAAGTTTAAAAAATCCAAAATAAATTGGAACTTATCGTGGAGATAATGCACTGAGCGCTTGTGCTATCTACCTTCAATTCACTTAATGCGTGCTCAGTTGAAAATTCATTGAAATTGGTCTATAAAATATGGCGTTTGGTCCTAGTTGACACTAATCATTACGTGCTTTTTGATGTGATTGGTTTATATCTAACAAGATATCAAACTGTGTTGTGCTCTAGGTTGTTGTAGACAATATATTTACTATTTATGATTTTTGTTTCAATATTATGTAATGAACCCATATGATGGCATGCTATACATGTAAACCTATTTCACATTTAGATTACATATCTCGACCTTGATCAGATCACAGGTCTTTGTTCATTGTTTTGTTTATATATCAGCAATCTCAACATAAATACGCGTTTTTCCATCATATTATTATCTATTATGAACTCGTGTTGAGGTGAAAATGCGGTTATCTGAACCGGGGAAATAGATATTGACCGAGACAAAGTACGTCCTACAATAGTAGATACAAGTATTGGACTGCTTCACGCAGGCGTTTGTCGTTAATATTCATTATGAAGCTCTAGTGCGCTAGTACGATTCATGAATTTGTCAGTTCAGTTGTATATTGATTATGAATGTGAACTGAAAGATTGCAATGTGTAACTACACGTTGAATCAGCTGAACATTGTACATTGTCATGTAGAACGCAACAATAGCATCACTCTAAATCAGGAAAAACGTGTATTCTATGTCTTTTTAATTTTATCATTTACTTAACAATCACAGTATGCTTTGGTGTATTTGTAATTTTAAATTTAGTTCACGTTTTTAATGATGTTCAGAAAACATTCATTGATACGAAAATAATAGTTATGACGTAACATATGAGAAGCGATGTCTGAGAAACATTGATTTCGTGTGTCGACTTGATTTGTGATGCGACTCTTACGTCTATTTACTGTTTGGTACTGCTATAACCAATGTGGTGTGAAAAAGAAGGTGTGTGAAAAAGAAAGTGTGTGAAATAGAAAGTGTGTGAAATAGAAAGTGTGTGAAACAGAAAGTGTGTGAAATAGAAAGTGTGTGAAAAAGAAGGTGTGTGAAATAGAAAGTGCGTGAAATAGAAAGTGTGTGAAATAGAAAGTGTGTGAAATAGAAAGTGTGTGAAATAGAAGTGTGTGAAATAGAAAGTGTGTG